ATCGTTTATCACTTTTTTTAGCCATTTTTTTGGCAACGATTCTTTTTTAGTAAAAAATATATTTTTTCAGACAAAAATATTTATTTCCGTTAAAGTTCGACCAAAGGTAATCGGGGTCGAGGAACTCGAATTCGGCGGTATTTTTTAGCTAATTTTAGAAGGATGCTGTTTTGGTAAAAAATATATTTTTTCTAGAAAGTCATTCTTGGGGAAAAAAGTTGTGTTGATGTTTTCGTAGTGTGGGAGTCGAAATCTACTGTTGTTTCTTAAAACATCTCATGAACCGGTGAGTGTTAGTGATTGCTAATATTCATGCGGAGTCTCAGTAAGAGCGGTTTAACAGTTATTTTGAGTGGAACTAAATTTGAACTGTTTTTGAGCTGGTCAGTCTAGCTGGATTTTTTCCATGCACTTCGCAAATTATATAGTACGACTTGGAGACAGGTTTGGGAAACTCGAACTTTTAATCGCCTTAGGAAGTATACAGTGGTGAATGATAATCGGTAAAACGGAAGAATTTGTTTTCTTTTTGATTGAACTGATTGTTTTAGTACTTAGTTTTCTCTATCCGGAAGTGCCTCTGTGAAATGAGGGGAAGATCAGCGCAGTTTCGAGAATGGACGGTTGAATTAAGGCTGCGACAGAAATTTGTGTAGTGAAACTCTAATTTCAGTGGCAATCAACTACACACGGTTGCGAAAGTAGGTGAGATCTCATTCCCCGCGTTGATGAGTATGCTCAGCACGCAGGTTGATTTGCAGCTATAAGTTTTAGATGTGGAGGTAAGAATTAGCTTTCGTCGTTTTAGAGATACGTTGGCGAAATCTTTTATTTCATTTGATAAATCATTAGATAGACGATTTACAATAAAGAACAAAAACGCTGACAAAACTGAAATAAAAAAAGTGATAAACGATTAATATTTTATCGTGCAGTTATTTTAACCAAATAAAAGTAACAATACAATAAGAATAGTCTAGGTAGTAGGAAAATGTTTTCGAGTTTTTATTGCAATCTTGTTTAATCTGTTAAGTTCTTCCATTTGTGCTGCAGTTGGTTTCACTTGTAGAGATGAGAAATTAAACGGACGCACAATCAGGAGGTCACCCAGTCGTTTAACACGTGATAATGGAACATAAACTGATGCCACTTCAACGGGACCAGGAGGCGTAACAAGATCAACAAAGATTTTTCTCAGTGTCTGACCTTGGCTTTTATGTGTTGTTATGCTATAGGCGGGTATTAATGGAAGAGCTTTACGCTTGATCACAATTTTCGTTGGTCGTTTGACTACCTTTGCAGCTTTTGAAACAGTTTCGGTAAGCAGGTCCTTGATATCGTATGTAAAAGTTTGTTCAGTAAGAGAGATCGGAATTATTTTTTTCTCAAGATCTTTCAGTCCGGAAGCAAGCTTGCAGCTCGAAAACTCAACCAAAGCGTATTTTGGTCGTGTTATAAATTTAGTATGCTTCGGGAAAATGGCCACATCGAATTGAACATCTTCAGAAAGTTCATCATATACGAGCTGACGAAATATTCCACGTGTACCATTAGAGAGCCCTAGCTCGGTCGCAATATTTTCCGTCAGTAAAACGGGCATACCCGGCACAAGTGGTAAGTAACCTGGAAGATGCTCTGTTTTATTGTCGGGCAGTTCGAGAATTGCTTTGCGTAATCTTGAATCATCAATGGCCTTATTTCGTATATAATCCTGAGCGACACAAACAACCGGTCTGATTCCCGTCTCAATTGCTTTATTCAGTACAGCTCGATTGTTTAGTTGAGTTCGAAGTGTGTTTCGAAAAACCAATATAGGAGCCTATTATAAAACATATGATCAAATACTAAGAATCAAGATGATCTAGCATACTTCGTTCCACGGTTTCTGTTGCAAAGATATCTTCAAATTTGGAGCTCCAATTACTCGTGTACAAAGAAGTTGATAATCCTCGACTGTTGATTTCCCATCTCTTAACCTAGTTAATAGTTCTAGATATCTTGCATCTTCCGTCCGCATTTGCTGGTTCAATTCGACAACACAATTAATTTGAGATATTATCTTCTGTGCACATTGCATTTCGATTTGACGTTCATTATACTGCTGCGCTAATGCGTGGGTATGATACAGAGGTTTATCTAACACTGGAGAATATTGTAAGTAATCGCCAAAAAAGATCATATTTACACCACCGAATGGAGCATCCATATTAATATGTTTCGCTGTTTTCACTATTCTATTGAGTCGGGCCAACAGACTAAGTCCTACCATACTAATCTCGTCGATAATCAAGTACTTCACATGGCGCCACTCGTTTTCTAACTTTGTGTCGCCTGGTCTAAAAGTTCTGGTTTGTCTTTTTTTGGAATTTTTGCGACTTTCGCCTAAAAACGAGTGTATTGTTAATCCATCAATCTCTGCCGCTGCTATAGATGTTGGTGCCACTTTACGCAGCATTGTTCCTCTCTTTGTCATTTGGAAATAATTCGTAATTGCACGAATCAATTGAGACTTCCCAGTACCACCACAACCAGGCACACACATTAGTAATTGGTTGTCAATAGTACCTAAATTACTTTTGTTAATGATTCTTTTTTTATAGAAAGCCGAAAATTTTACCAGTATGAAATTGGTTGTCGCCATCTAGATGACCAGTAATAATCATGAAAGCAAACTGTTGCTGGCTGTTCAGGGTAAACTTCCTGATGATATCATATTTAGTTGGCAATGAAATTGCTATAGTTGTAGTAACAGGTGGTACTGCGGCAATATTCATTTTAAATGGACTTGTAGGTATTTCAGAAGTTACGCCTTCAACTTGGACCTCATCATTTCGTACCTCCAAAGAGTCTTCTCCTGAAATTAAATAACTTCTTGCTTGATCTTTTCTGTTTTCAATGTCTTGTTTCCATTGTTTACTCATAGTTCCATGATGTGAATCTGCTACTATAAATGTATTGAAATCATCTGCGATCCAGGAGAAATTTTTGTTTGATAGATTTTTGTAATCTAAATATAAATTTTAGTATCATTATTTTTAGCAGGGAATACTAGTAAACTCACCATTTAGTGATCCAAATCTCGTCGTTTTGTCAATCGCTTCCAATGCATCAAATAGGTAACGCTGCTCGTGACTGCTAAGAGATGCAGAGTAAGCTTTAATGGTGCTCTCATTTACCAACGAAAGCATTTGTAACAGTTCCTCAGAGTCGTCTTCAGGATTATTTTCATCAATTTCATAGCAGCTAGGAATCAGAATAGGATCGATTTTGATATTAGTTGGAGTTTCTGTAATAATTTGATGGAGATGTTCGTCTCGATCATTTTTACATTCATGCAAGAGCTGTATATTTTCAATAATCTTCAGAGCGTCAGCAGAGATCGACAGTTTTCGAGCCTCCAACGCCTGAGACCATGTCTCTTTTAGTGAGCAAAGATCGCCCACTGATCTCCATGGCACGAATAAAGTCAACAATGCACGGCAATAACGTTCACGTGTGTCTTCTCTCTCCCGACGCGGTATTTGAGGACCCAGAAGAACTGGTACAACTGGATTGGTATGTTTAATGAGAATATGTGATGATGATTGTGGATGTAGGCTTGCAAAAGTGTGTCGCTCATTCATCTTTGTTCCTTCTATGCTTAGTCGTTCACCATCAGACGCCTTGGCATTCGTCAATAAACGTCTGTCTGATTTATCGATTACTTTTTTGTGAAATAGGCTAATAAATTCATATAGGCATAAAGCTGTTAGATCTTTTGATCGATGCTGATAATCTAGACGAGTGTTCACCATCACATAACTGTGCCCGCTTTTCGTTTTTGTTGGTTCCAAAATAAACTGTTCTTCAGTTTCTTTTGCTTCGTCTTCTTGATCCTCATGGAAGGGTATTGATAATTCTACAAATATACTAAATTTAATATGTATGCAATCATTTTAATACTCTTTACCATCCGATTCCTCTTCATCAATATGTTTTTCACTTAGTCTGACTTTCATTATTTCCGCTTGCAGATAGTTTTCAATCGAGATCAGAAAAATATTTCTAAATGTGTGCGTAGTGTAATGATCTCCATAGTTCATTAGATACGATGCCACTTGAACACCAGAAACTTCTTGATGTGAAGCAATCGTATTGTAGCATCGTAACACGAGTTTGCGCGATTTTTCAATAGCACTTTCCGTCCCACATGTAGCTTGTTGCTGCTCAATGGATTTGATTCCTTGTTGCGCAAGGGCAAACATATCATAGAAAGCAAGACTTGATTTTGTGACGTAATCAGTTATATAGTACACTAGAGCTTTAGCATCGCTACCAGTCCAGATGAATTTAATGTCCATATTGCATCGGCAAGCACTTATAACCCATTCATTGAAGTTATTGATCCATGGATGTGATCGACGCATAGTTATCTGACCTGTTGACACATCGATGTGAGAATTTTCTACGAGAGCACGTGGCATACGCATTCGACAAGTTTTCAAACCATCTGGCTTAGCTTTTGAGTATTTATAGCAAGTTGCCGAATGCCGATGAATATTAGATGTTTCGACGATGCGCACGACATCGTTGCGAAAGATGCGTTGAAAATCGTCATGTGTGGGATTAGGTGTTGGTAGGCAGGCTGGAATAACTTCTTTTTCGACCCGCTCAGTTTCCTCTAAAGTGAAGGCAAAATACAAATTAAAAGTATACCAAACATAAGTAGCTCACGAATGGGTAGTTCATCGCCAGTGATTGCATTTGTTCTATCGTAATCTACTTCTTTAAAAGACAAATATAAAAGAATAAATAAAATCCAGTTATTAAGGTTAGTAAGAATCCATAATTTTAATTAAACGCGTCATGCAATTGTCAGAGAGTTTCTTGCAAGCTCATCTGTAGATTGTTAACTAGGAAAAGCACTTCTTGGATATGAAATATCTTGCATGATAGAGATATGAATACATCAAATTCTAGATTAGAATGAAACTGTAGCTATTACCTCGAAATTGATCTAAATCTTCTTTTACAATATCTTCTAAATACGTCAGTAGTTTTTGACGGAAATCTTCGTTTTGAATTTGTTGCTTCAGCTGTGTTGGTGTGAAGTCATGATTGAGCCAAATAAGAAGGTGCAAGTGAAGTGAACCTCTGCCTTGACTCTCTACAGTACCAAAGTACGCCTTTGTAGGACCAAGTATACCACCAAGAACTAAAGATTTCAAGATACTTTTTATCAAACAATTAAAGAATTTTGCAGTAGCAACTGGATGAGTTGCAATTGTTTTGGCACGTTCATAACTTGTTCCCAAGGTTTCTGGTAGAATCTTGTCAAGGTCTAAGTCAACACCTGCAAAATAAAGTGCCACTGGACTATGTATGTCAGCGGGATTGATCGTTACAAAAAGGCTAGGGAGACCAACGTTAAAACACAGAGAGTGGATTTTTGTACGTAGAGCAGACCGCGAATGAGATGAACCCATAACATGACCACCAACAACTCTGATATGCTTCATAAGTGTATTTATTCTTTGATCGGCAATGCTTGAATACGTTCCTTTTGAAATATTTACAAGGGCTGTTGCTATATCTGCAGAACTCAATGACTCTAGAAGTTGTGCAGATTGCTGAAAGTATGGTCTTGATGTCATTAAATGTGCATGAAAGCATGCAGTACGGCGTTGTAGAATATTGAAAACAACAAATATGAATGAGTAGTGTTCTTCAAAACGACGATCTCCAAACGAAAGAAGATATCTGAGATGCTCACGAAAATCTATTTTAACCGGTCGAGAACCATCTTCAATTGAACCACAACCATATGGAAAAAGCGTAGGAAAGATGCCTAATAATAGGTTTGGATTAGAATATTCATTCACCGGTCTGTTACCACGAGGAATCATGTATACAGTATCTTTTTGGATACTTCTTTCAGAAGCCAGTCCACGTGTTTGCTCTGCGGTTTGCAACTTCATTCGGTCGAGTAGATGTTCAGCAACGTCATCAGACGAAATATTGGTACCATTAACATCTAAAACAGCACTGCAATAAAAACCATAGCACTTAAAGATAACAATATATATTTTTTTAAATTTTACCTCGGAATTAAAGGTACAATTGCTGTATTATTTGATTCAGATGCATTGATCAAAAGATCGGGAATATAACTTGCTCTTTCATTTGTAGCAGTTTCAACGTTGTCGGAGACTTGCATTGTTGCCCACAAACATTCTGGTACATCATCGTCAGGTAATTTATCGATTATTGATTGATTAATTACTACATTTCGATAGAGTGGGTTGTTTTGTCTGAGCCATTGTAATGCGTTCAGTACTTTCTTTTTTCGAACTGTCAAAATATTTTTTAGTTGATTTCTTTCCGGAGTGCGACAGCCGACAAAAATTATTTTTAGTGAATCACATAGATCCTCTAACTCTAATGGTAAGGTAGCAGCAATGTTCACCACATCCTGTGGAAAGCTTATACAGTTGCCTTTAATAGCCGATTGAGCTGTGGCTGCTGAATAAAAAGATGAATGCAATTTTACGATGCAACTATTGTGTCTGTATACAGCAATGAGTCTTTGCTCAGGAATGGTTAGTCCCTGCAGTTCTTTTGGCACATCTCCCATCCATATTTTGTTGGCCACCGAAAACTTTGGTATTTTTTCCTTTGTCAATGCAGACCAGCACTCCATGCAAATGTCACAATGTATAAAATAACGTTTCTTCTTATCAAGACTACGATGTAGTCCTCGTTCATAAAAAACTACATCCTTTATACTAGTGAATGATAAGTTATTCATTGACGATTGTACTTCGCTATCTGTAACGAAAGCATTTCGATTTATCTGTTAGCTACAAAAAAAAGAAAATATTAACCTGCTTCACCTTCAACCATTGCCAAATCAACATCATTATTTATATTGTGCTTTTCATTGGAATGCAAGTTCTGTGTTCGTTGTATACAAGGAATCACGCTACAAAGATCCTCAGGTGTCTTAAGTAATTCAATCGATGGAATTTTATTCAACGGTACACGTCGCAGATCTCGCTGGTAACAACGAATATTACATATTCCACATATACCTTCTGCTAGTGAACCCATAGACATTTGTTGAATGAATTTCTTCAAACAGTTAGTTTTGCACTCCGTATCAGCAGGCTTTGGCCATTCAACTTCGATAGTTTTACATACTCCTGTTTTAGTCACTATCTGTTTACTTTTCGAAGTTTTTTTAAGAAGACTTCTCCTGCGGGCCGCTTCACGCTGTTGTTCAGCTTCTTCTGGCGTATAGGCAGCTCGCCTTGTAGCAATTCTCTTGCGTGTCAGTACTCGTTGTTCTTCCGCTATTTTCGGCGATGCAGTAGCTCGTGTGGCCATAGTCCTCATAGAAGCTAGTATACGTTGTTGCTCTGCTTGTTCTGGTGTAAGAGAAGCTCTGGTAGTAGCATTTCTCTCCCGAGTAAGTGCTCGCTGTAGTTCAATTTCTTGTGATGTCAATGAAGCTCTTCTGGATGCACTTCTTTCACGAACAAGGGTCCGTTTTTGCTCTGCTTGTTCTGGTGTAAGAGAAGCTCTGGTAGCAGCATTTCTCTCCCGATTAAGTGCTCGTTGTCGTTCAATTTCGTGTGTTGTCAATGAAGCTCTTCTGGATGCACTTCTTTCACGAGCAACAGTCCGTTGTTGCTCTGCTTGTTCCGGTGTTAATGTAGCTCTTCTAGTTGCACTTCTTTGCCTTGCAAGTACCCGTTGGCGTTCGACTTCTTCTGGTATAGCTTGTGCTCGATTAATGGACATTCTTTCCCGGGCTAAGGTTCGTTGATTTTCAACATTGGTTGTGTCTGCGTTGGAATTGTTTTCTATTGAATATTGCCTACGTTTGGTCCGAGGGGTTGTTGATATTTCTTCCGCTGGTTGGGAAATCATTGGAGATGTTAGAAATAGTTGCTGTTCACCGTCCTCCATGTTGAAATTTGGAATACGAACTTGAGTCGCAATGCTATTCTTCCTTGTTGATTTAGTTGGTGTCTACAAGCAAAAGTGGCTTTTCTGTAAAAATATCTCTGTAAACGCTATAACTCACAGTATCAGAAGAAAGAACCTGGGGATGCGACAGATTGGTTTGAAATTCGGGATTGTTTGATGGAAGTATTAATGGTACGAAGTGATTGGGTGTCCAGTTACCAGCATTGTTATTGCGTGCGCCTATTTCATTTAGAGTGTGTGTCCAAAATATAAAAATTGTATTGGAAGGAAGGTTGGACTGAGCATATTCAAAAGTACTATTCATGATGTTTAGATCTTGCCGATAATCAATGTTCGGATATATACTACGTATGTTGCATTTGAGCACATTTTTCAATCCTACAAGTTCATAAAGCTCGGAGAATGAAAAATTGTGGGTGATGTTTTTGATGCCTTCATTGAGTGGTCCCACAATATGCGAATAACTATTATTGTAGAAAACTTCGTTTTTGATGAGTTCAAGTATAGTTCTCACTGAAATATACGTGATAAAAACTTAAAATATTACCATGGTTAGTACTAACCTCTCAGTTCGCTATGTGTTAGAAATGCATTCCCACTCAAACATATAATTGAATTATAGAGACAGTTGCCATCGGCCATGACCTCAATCGGTACCATATTTTGAACGTTCAAAGGTGCTTTTCGAAGATATAATTTTGCTTTTTGATCTATTTTATGAACACGTGGATCGAAATGCGTGATATTTGTAAAATTGATTGGAGTCAAAAGCCATTCGAGCTAAATGGTGAGAGTAGAATATGACTTAGAATATGTTAGTATGAAACCTACAGTTTCAATCTGCTGAGAAATAATCCTAATTTGATTGTAGTAATTATTGGCGGTAGATGTCTTGCCAAATAGTTTTAAAAGAATCTCGAACATTGCAGACCGGCCAATCTCGCGACACCCTAGGCAACAAAATGTTGCTGCCCTATGTGCACAAAATAGGCATTGATTGTTCATTTTATTCTTATGTAATCGAAATAAAGTTGATGGTGATGTTTTCAAATGTTTGACAATTAGAAATGATGGATTTCTAATATGATAGTTCAACAAGCGAAAATGATCTAAAAGGAGTTATTTGTAAAACACATAGCAGAATATATACCTTCACAAATTTTATTTAAAATGAAGTATATTTACGAATTGAAACAGTTGTAAAAATGATAGTCACATCATTTCCAATATAAGTTACAAATACTGTACAAAAGTAGAAATATTTAATGAATAGAAAACAAATGCATAATAAATTCCGATCAGAATCCGTTGTAATACATTGAGAATTTCGTTTCCTAATTCTTTTAACTGATGATACGTAACTTTACTGCTTGGTGACCATACCTCGTAAATTCCACCATCGGTTTACTTCCCTATAGTAGAGGTTGCAATCATTATCATCACAATTGCAGACAAGATTCAGATTAAGAGCACACAGTGGTGCTTGAATTTTTTCACAACGATAGAGTTCTTTACTTTGCTCTAATGATACATTAACAAATATCCGCAGAAGTCTCGGTGTCGACTCAAATAGATGAATCCATTTTTGATTAACCACAAAACCATAGGCGTCTACAAGACCAGTTAGTTTCAGTTTAATGAGACATGGTGTTGTCGCCACTAGTTGAGCAATCCAGTGAAACGATACTTCTAGTAGTCCCAGACTAAGAGTACGAAGATTCTGAAAAATGAACGAAGGAATAAGCTTTTGGTTACGATCAATCAAACTGACACTCAAGAAGCGAATACTACTGAGATCAGGTAGCATCTGTGATAAGCCATTCCAGTTAATTGTAGAACCTGAGTCTAAGAGAAATTGTTCGATTTTACTTGATACTGTAGGTAAAAAGCAGAATTTTAAACTCTCTCCTAATTCACTGGTAAGAATTATCAGATGACATAATGAGGTAATAGATAAGATAGACGTAAATAGTTCTTCTAGAGATCTAATGATAGAAGTAACAACAGTAATTTGATTTAGTTTCGCTTTTGCGCATGAAATACTATTGATAGTGTATGAGACCCATTTAATCACGCCAATTAGGTTTATTGAGCGAAGCTCTAAGCAGTTTTCGATAACTTTGATGCAAGGAGATTCGTGGAGTGTGAGAGAAACAATGCGACTGCGAGGAATTTCTTTTGCAAGATCTTCTATATCAACATCGAGTGTAAGCCCCGCGCAAAAAGTACCGGTTATTTGCACTAAACAATAGTTGATCAACGGCGACTGTAATAGATTCAAACGTCATGAATAATTCGATGATTTTGAAATACTCAAAAATTTGTTCCCAAACGTCAGAACACAAATCATGAATCGTACTGATCTTTTCTACGAATGGAAATAAAGTTATACAACAATATTGAGACAGCAATAATATTTACCTTTAAACCTTATATTGACTACAGTGATACTACAATTTTCACTGTCTCTTTTGATTCTTACAGATTTTGGTCCATAATAATCCACTACATGTAATAATGAGAATGAATTAGCGAATGACAATCGAAATGGTATGAGTCAAAAGAATTATCTGAAAACAGGAAACAATTATCACTTCCTAATGGATAACCTCTCATGTAATTATAAATCCAAATATCATATACGATAGAATTCATATTAATACTGTGATATGGTTTTAAAATGTGACTCATAAATTCCGAAAAGATATGCATCGACTTGTACAGATGTATAAAATGATCTCAATAATGTTTTCGACCATACTCCCAACGATACCCATGTATTGAAGCTCACATTGTCATTGAAATGAAAATTTTGAAGAAAAACTTCTCATATTATCTAGATCATCTCGTATAATCCACTATAGAAATTAATATATTTCTAATTGAAGAAGAGCATAACATACGACAAACTTTGTGTTTTCAATTAACTTCATAGACATACACTACAAGTATAATGATTACAATAAGACTATTTAAATACAAGAAAACATGATATCACACCATAAGTTATACAAATCAAATTATGCGGATGATGATTGAAAAAGTAACCGGTGTGCTCAAGATGGCCACATGAGTAGTGTACTGTTGGCTCATCAGCCACGTAATCCACACACAACTCGCACACCGAACATCCTGATAATTGAGCCATTTGAAGTGTCATAGTGATGTCTTCAACATACAAATGTCGATGATTTTCTTCCAAGTACGTACGAAGATGCGAAATTCAAGAATCTATTAACGACCAAATTAATCTGAACGTTTCAAAAGAACATATATCTACAAATAGAAACAAAGATTAATGACAATGCAAAAAAAAACAGCAGTTCACGATAAATAACGTGAACCTTAATATTAAATTTTATGATTTCTTTTTTATTTTTTTTTATTTTTGCTTTTGTTTGCCATATGGCCCTGACGGTCCTAAAGGAGCAATTGAGCTGGAAAAGATCAATGTATCACGAGGAAATTTTTTTAAAAGCACTGAACAACTAAAGAAACTCATGGCGAGTTGAACAACTAAGCATTCATATCCTTACATGAATAAACAATAATAGTAAAAGCTATGGTGGGTGTGAGCAAGAAAATAAGAAAAAGTAAACGAGAGAGAAAAAGAAACAAAAAAGAAGAAAAATGAAAAATGAATGAAGATAGAGAATAGAAAAAAAAAGAAGAAGAACGAAAAGAGAAGAAAGCCTCATATGCTGATAAGCCCGATCTAATAGCAAGAACGACAACAAAGCAGAACAGAGACACTAGATGAGCAATGCTTTTCATTGACGAACAGTTTGCTAAGCACGAAATGGATCCTTTGTTTTTAACATGTTTTCATTGATTGTGCACATCATTGAATTGATTTGATCTAACTGATCCTTCAACTGCGAATCCGTTAACACTATTTTATCATCCAATTTATTTTTATTCTCATTCTTCTGGTGACGCCTTTCTACTTCTTCACTTATGGATCTTGTTCTAGTTGAATTACTACGGTCTATTTCCCGAATGAAATGTTTAACATGAGGTAAGGCAAATTTTTTGTACATTTTAACTACTATAAAAATCACCGCACTACCAGCAATTAGCAGTATCAGAAGTTCTCGCCACGATTTATGTGGTTGAGGAGCACCGTAGACGTGTTTTTCGATTTCCTTGGTCTTTTCGACTACTTCTTTCACGTGGCTGGAGTTAGCGAAATTGTTAGTAATAAATTCGAATTTATTTTTGATCTGTTTAAGCTGATTATTATGATTTACCAGTGTATTAATCAATGCTTGATTTTTATTTTGATTTCGCTGACGATCATCGTTTTTTTCTCACGTGCTTCCAGCGCAGATATTAATAACTTATCCAGTCTCGAACGAAAGATTTGAAGATCTACGGTACTGTTTTCTGTATTTCCAACAACGAACGAAACCATAAAAATAAAGATAAAGAGCAATTGATTGTACAATACCGTTACGACTATTGAAACACCCGACACAGAACGATGGCACTTTTGGTAGTAATATGGATCGAAAATGAACTAAAATCACAATAAAATTTCAATCAGCAGTAGCTATGTGTTTAGCTCATCATCACTATGGTAAATCATTGTCAATACAACTGAAAGTACTTTACACACCTGGTGTGTTATTTATGTGTGAGAATTTTAAACGTTTTCAAATCTATTTCAAAGGAAGATCTTACGAGATATTTCAAGAATAATTGAAAAAAGTTCAAATCGTCCGAATTCACCTGAGATTATATTTATTTCGCACCCATATTCAAAATATACTCAGTCATAGGGAAACAAATATGACAAAAGGCTCCATAATCAAAGTGTCCTATGCGTGTCTCGCTCAATGCTTATAAAAGCATTCTATAACAGATAAGCAAGATAAACGAAAATCGACTTTCTTCCGTATCGTTTTAAACTGCCGTCTGACTATTTAGCATTCGTCGAGTGAGGACTGCTACATTTACAAATACAGCTCGCTTATTAGGATATTATATTCTTCTTTGAAAAAAATTAAAATATTTTTATTAGACGTATTACTCGAGACAAACATCTTTCCAAGTTCATAACTAAAAGTATAGTAAAAAACCTTAACCCACTTCACAATTAAGAATATAGACCGCAATGGGGATTCAACTTACGCGTTTATCTATGTACTTTCACAAATAAAAAAGAATCATATATTTATTGCTACGCACTAATATATCCTCCTAACTGATTCAAATCGAAAAATAAATACGGTCACATACATCAACAGCGAAAGACAGAAGTACTTTCCCGTCCTTCTGAGAAGCATCGATGATGAGTCTTTAATCGAATAATCGTTGTGTACTTCAACTAATTATATGCTCACGTAGCAGTTTATCATACGAGCACTTGGAGATTTTCATAGAGATTTTTCGTTGAAGACTGTTGTCGATCTCGACCCATAGCCTTTGTCGTCCTTTCTCGGTATTTCCCTCTTAGTTAATATATTTACGGCTAGTTAATTAGCATTAGGCTAGAAAGATCTTTAAAGGAACAAACCAGGTTCACTTTTATTCTATTCCAGTGTGGCCCTGCTGCGTTTTCGTTCACTAAAATCAATCCGACCAGGATCCACTTACTTCCGTGTGCTTGCTACTCAATCACCGATTTCTTTTGCAGAAAGATCTCTATATAAGCAACTTCACTTAAGATAGAAAACTTCGAGATTTTCATAGAGATTTTCATCAAGATTATTCCCACTTATCTCTTCACCGGGAACCACTCTCGATACATGATCTTCAGGGTTCTTCCTGACTAGTTAAACGATAATTAGGATATTTCAGAGTTTCACTCATTAATATAAAAAAAATCTCTCACAGTAACAACTAAGCAAAATCTTGCCAAACATAACTATTTCATGCTTAAGTGTTGTAAATCCGCTAAAAACAATGCGATATAGATAAATGCAACTGATTCTTTGTACTGACTATCAATTCACCATTGTATTTTATACTAAAAGCCACATATATGCCACACGATTCAACACCCGAACTTCGAACCGTTGCATCCTATTTTTCCTTCTCGATTATTTATTCAGCAGCAAAAAGTAGTCTCAATTCATCAATTTCAATATTTTATACCTATCAAATGCACTTTAACCAGATATTACAAAGCGTAATTACTACCACTTCAATGGTAGAGCCATTGAAAGCTCTTTCTCGCAAAATAACTCTTATCGGAGATATTTAACGATCTAATTCATACCGTTTGAAATTGAAATGTCTGAAAAAAAACTCTAAGTCAATATCTTCGATTTGAAGTATTTGAAAGTGCCCTTCATTGACTTTTATCTAGAAAGATCATTGAAGATCTTTCTGGGCCCATACAGCTTGTTTGAGATTTTTTTTCTAAGTCCACTTTATTGTGTTTTAATCAGAAGCATCACTAAAGATTCTCCACGTTCTATCATTTCAATTTCAGATATTTGAAAGTCCGATTCATTGCATTTCTTCAAAACCAAAAATGAAAGATCCGTCTTGTTTAATATCCTCCATTTAAGATATTTTGAAGTCTCCCTCCTCAGAATCTATCATGAAAGACGCTTAAAGGTCTTTCTCAGTCACTACCTTCCATTTGAGGCATTTTTGAAAGGACCTTTTCTTGCACTTTGTCTACAAGGATCCTCGAAGAGCCTTCTTCATGAACACCACTTATGTCAAGCGTTTCGAACTCTCATTCATTGCAGTTTTCCAAGACAGTCCTTTAAATGTCTTTCTATTAGAAAAAAAATCAAAAGCATTTCGATATACCTCAAAAAAGAGATATAGACTCAAAAGCATCCTTAAGGATCCTTTTTAATAAAAGTGAACGAATGCTGCGTTCAAATACCCAGGTCGAACATTCCGGTCCCGGAAACCACCGGTTCTGTGGTATTCCGGAGATTTCATGGAAACAGTATTCCGGAACGGATTTTCCCGGATTTTGCCACCATCTTTCCACTCATATCCGAACGGAAACACCGCGAAAAATTCAGGAAAAAATCCGGGCGGTTCCTTTTGTGACCCACATACACGCCATAGGAACGGAAACAGTTGGAAACGAGTGGATCTGCGACGTTTCCAACATATTTCCCGAGAATTCCAAAACTGGAAAGACATTTATGTCAGCTGTATCGGTATCCGAACCGCTTCCTCAATCATGTTCCAAACCCATCTCCCACCTCAAACAGTTCGAACACATACCGATACCAACAAATAGTTGCGATACACTCTAATGCTATTGACCTTTGACCAAATCACACCAGCCGCTCACTACATCATATCCCTACGAGCATATCGAGCTGGTCAGAAACTGCCGCAAACAGAAATTCAAAATTTGAAAAGGTAGATTTTTTATTTCAACTCCCAGCTAAATTCTGATGACACTTTGTAATAGGTTATCGAGGTCGACGAATGCGAATCCGGCGTCATCGATTGCGCCCTGGCATCCGACAGTTGAATGATGGTTGTTATCAATCGGTTTTCTGCTGTAAGATTGCATTGGATTTCGATCCTGGGGTGCCAACTCTCCTCCCAATCAGATCCTATTGTGGGATTAATCGACCGGGGTACTGAATATAGTGCTAACGACCGCTTACGGTCACGATAATCTTCCTCCTGCGTGTGATACCGCGTAGGTATACTATAGTTATTGACGATGTCAGACTGGATACAGAAAGTTTCCTTAAATAGTCCGTCGCGGATATGGTAGTTTCCTGAACGAGTTCATTGCGTGCGTGGTAGTTTCCGGGTGGATCCGGCCAAGTGGATTTTGTTGGAAAGTTATGGATCCGGTACGGTGATTTCCGGTCCGGAATCCTGCTCCCATTTGCCGGGTGCTTTCCGTGCGATTTCGGAGGGAAACACTCTGTATTTTAGTAGTATTAGCCGGAAAAAAGACCGCTTTCTTTTGTTTTCTGCGGAATCCGGACCCCGGAATCATCGTCCTGGGTACCTCAAATGGAAGGTAATGAATTAAAAAAATCTTTAAGCCTCTTTCTCCGTTGATTTCGACGAAGAAGTCTTCGCAATACCTGAAGTTTATAGTAGTGAGGTTGGGATCTGTTTTCGTCTGCTATGGTATAGTGAATGATTTCCAAGCAGTGCGCGAGTTTATTGGCATTAGGGAAGCTGGCTGGAAATTTACTTTGTTGAGGGTGTGACGATCGAGGTTGACGAGGTGTGACTGTGTTAGGAAATCCGTGCACGATCTCAGGCAGATTGGAACTTCTGAAATTTTTTTCAGCTGTAATCGGTCGGATTCCGTTAGTTCCGTCGCGTGTTTCGTTTGCATTCCTTGTGATTATGGGTCGCTCCTGGGAATTTTTTTCCCAACGGTTACGGTGGCGGTAATAGTGCGGAATGCTGCTTCCACCTTCCGGAGTCTTCCGGTTCACTTCCGGACGGTTCCGAAGTTCGGAATCATCGATCTGGGTGTAGCTGAGTTTCTGATTATCTGTCAAAACTTTCATTCGATGATAGTGAATTTTGTATCGCTACGCTAATTCTACTTGAATAAAAAATAAGAATACCAGGTACGGATACAGCGCTTATCGCCCAGGATTGATACACCCGGCCCGGTGTGGATGTGCACAAATGCATGATATTCAGTAGCTCGCTCATACTGATTCACAGCGACACAAACCCCTAACCCACTGCTAGGGATGTAACAGTTCTCAGATCTAAGGAACTCTCTGAACAGTGCTTTTGATAGAAACCAAAACTGAACTGTCATACCTCTAGCCACTGCCACCCCCGTCCACACCCACACTCAATGCCAATACTTCAAAACTAGTTTTGATTTTTGTGTATGCCTACACCTGAATAAGTTGACCTTCATAAATGCGCGCACACATAGAGATTCTTATGGCAGAGAGCCCATTCTAAACTCCTATATTCAATTGAATTGAAGGCCTTTACATAAAAATGTTCACAGTTGTTAAATCAAGTGAAATCTCTTGATAATGATCATGGATTGTATTTAGTCATGTATGTACAGCTTGCATTTGAAGACATTTCAATATGGTTCCAAAAGTTCCAATCCTTCTTATTTCTATTTGCTGAACCTCTTAGCATTTTCTCTACGTATTCCTCCTTCGACTTCAGTACGTAATGGTGCAAAAGAATGATATCTTTTGTCACGGGAACTCGACATGGGCCGTTCCCTGGAATAGGTTTCCCATGTTCATCTACGGTGGTTTTCCCTTTATTTAGTAACACTGTGTGTGGGTTTCCATCCATTCCTAAAAAGTAAGCGGTGTTTGATATTGTTTTGATATGCGTATTATGGGGATTCGACTCGTCTGAAATGCATTTAAAGTAACTTTTTCGTACACCAGCTGTTGGCCTCGTCAAATGCCCACTGGACCCATAGATTTGCCAATTGACACCTACTCCTCCAGCATTTTCATGCTTTTTCAAAAATGTATTCAAAGTGGCCGGTAATCGGACTTCCAAGAATTCATCTACATCAAAAAGTGCAATCCACTGATGTTTTGTTCCGTAATCTTCATGACATATGTTATACACTCCGTGTTGTATGGCGGTTGTTACATTTTGAAGATATCTATGCGTGATAGCCTCGCGAGGAATGCCGAAATTCTGAGACAAGTAATGTGGTGGATAAGAGTTATCGTCCATTATGTAAAAACGACGAATATTATGATGGAAATAATGGTGTTGTAACCATTCGGGAAGATCATTGTGTTGATTTCGGACAACTACACAGAAAGCAACATATTCTCCTGTCATTTTCCATGATGGGACTAAGTGGTTACGAAATTCAAAGTTGTTATGCGAAAACACCTGGGCATGTCTTTGATTAATGATTCCGATAATGATCAAAACGAAAACCGCCACTACAATGCTTACAAATGCAATTGCCTTATTTGCTTTCAACCAATTCATCAACCTCAAAGAATAGAAGCTAAATTTCCTACTAAAGGGTGCAGTTGAGGGTGTTTTTATAATAGAATGTGTTAGATTCAAACCTAGTTACGACGGGTGTGAGGGTGTGGGTGTGGGTATGGGCATGGGTAAACAGAAAAATAACTACCTAAGGCACACTCATACTCACACCCACACGCCACAGGAGGTGTGGCTTGAGTGTAAAGTTTTATCTATTCTATTGACCTCTCATTTGTTTTCCTTTTCCTTGGCCTCTTTAATTTTTTATTCTTTTCGCTTTTTCTTTACCTGAATGGTATTTGATTAACAACTCTTATTCTACCTGTATTATATACATAGAATAGAAAAGAACATTATCTGAACAATGCATCGCGATTTGTTTATTCGACAAGACAACTCATCGAATAGAATATAAATGATCTCTTAACATTACTCATTGGCAATTTTGTTAAGGGCTAAACTAACACTGAATAATAGAAATTTGATTAACACAAGTATTTTGTTTTATGAGAAAGTTTTAGGTATGAATTAAATCAAACAGATATGACTGAAAATTAAGAAAACTATGTCCTGACGACACACTTTAGACAATAAAAATGATTATCCGTGCCATTTTTTCACAATAAGATCATGTGTTATTTTAAATGAATGTGCAAGAAAAGAAATAAAAAAAAAGATCTGAAAGCTACAAATCTCTAGGAAAATTGTATCAGACTCATTGATAGGATACGCGTAATTTTGAAATTGAAGCAAAGACAACCTCTTGAATCAATTAAGCATAATAATAACGACTAATTAAGACATGAGAAAATGCACACAAGCACACAACAAAAATCGTTTACAACTGAGTTCCCAATATTATAGTAACTACATAATCTATCAGTTGCTTTGAATAGCACGATGAAGCAATGTAAGTCTCATAGCGTCGTCCATAGCCACTTTTGAAAAACTTGACTCTCCAGATGGCGGCACGACAAGTGATGAGACTTTTCGTCGAATATAGTAATATATTAACATAGTATCGACCAGAGCTGAGCGCAGGACAGGACTGCCCTGCTGTCCTGGTGTCCTGTTCTGTTCTGTCCTGTCCTGCAGGACAAGAGTAGAGTTTTGTCTTGTCCTGCCGCCCGGCAGGGCGGGCTTGAACGCAGGACGAAACAGGACAGGATGAAACTAGAACTTTTTTGTGTTTCGGATTCTACCATGACATATTGCAATGGTAGGATATGATAAGAAAACATTCCACTGTTGACATGTATGTCCTCTGTTTAATCTGTTTTTTAACAATTCTTTTCGATTGTTTTGTACAAGTAACGTTCATCGACAGCCGATTTACTGAGCCCTAGACTGACAGTACTGAGGAGAAGAAATGCATGGACAGGACAGAAAATCGGTTGTTTGTGCCAGCAGCTGGTGATGATATTTTCAAACAGATCTGTAAACAGGGTGGGAATAT